GAACACATCAACATTGAAACAGATCAGCAGCAACATTGAAACAGATCAGCAGCAACATGAAACAGATCAGCAGCAACATGATGTGATTTTTCACAGTGATTATTCTAGTTAGAGATTCATGAGTCTAACAGCCTCAGGGTAGAAGCTGTTCCTCAGTCTAGTGGTTCTACACTTAATGCTCCTCAACCTCCTTCCTGAGGGGAGCGGGGCAAAAAGTGTGTGTGCTGGGTGAGTGGGGTCCTTCATGATGCAGCTGGCCCTCTTCATGCATCTAGAGGTGTAGATGTCTGTGATGATGGAGATGCTGACTCCAACATCTTCTGTGCAGCCTTCACCACTCTCTGCAAAGCTTTTCTTTCTGCAGCTGTGCAGCCTCCATGCCACACGTTGATGCTGGAGCACAGGATGCTCTCCACTGCACACCTGTAGAAGTAGGTGAGGACTGATCTTCCAGACCAGCTCGTCTCAGCCGTCTGAGGAAGTAGAGTCTCTGATGAGCTTTCTTCATCAGGCTGGTGGTGTTGTTGCTCCAGCTGAGGTTGTCATTCATGTGTACACCCAAGTACTTGTAGCTGGAGACCACTTCCACCACAGATCCTCTTATGTTCAGGGGGGTGTAGGTGTGTTTGTTCCTTCTGAAGTCCACAATCATCTTCTTTGTCTTCTTCACATTGATGTGAAGGTTATTCTCTTTGCACCAGCTCTCCAGGTGTTCCACGTCTTGCTTTTAGCTGGACTCATCATTGTTTGTGATGCATCCCACCACCGCTGTATCATCTGCAAACTTTACAATGTGACAGCCTGGATGGGTAGCTGCACACTCATACGTGATCAGAGAAAACAGGAGGGGGCTCAACACACATCCCTGAGGAGAGCCAGTGCTGAGGGTTATGGTGGAGGAGGAGAAGTTGTGGATCCTCACTAACTGTGGTCTGTTTGTTAAGAAGTCTAGTACCCAGTTGCAAATGGAGGGGCTTAGTCCTAGTGTGAATGGTTTGTCCATCAGGGTTTGGGGGATCATGGTGTTAAAGGCAGATGTGAAGTCCATAAACAGCATATGGACGTAAGAGTCTTTCTGCTCCAGGTGGTTGAGCGCAGTGTGGACCACCGAGGAGATGGCATCCTCTGTTGATCAGTTCTCGTGGTATGCGTGCTGATGAGGGTCCTCGTTGATGGTTGTTTTGTTGTGGGCCATGACCAGTTTTTCGAAGCATTTAGCGACTATCGGGGTGAGGGCCACTCGCCAATATTCATTAAGACCAGTCACTGTAGAGCTCTTTGGGACTGGGATGATGGTGACAGTCTTCAGGTACTGTCTCCGGGGTAAGTGAGGTGTTAAAGATGTCTGCCAGCACCTCGCAGTGCTGATCGGCACATTCTTTCAACACTTTTCCGGGGATGTTGTCTGGGCCGGTTGCTTTGTGCGGAATAATCCTCCTGAAGGTACTCCTTACTTCTGCTGAGGTCATGCTGAGATGCTCTTCATCTGGTGGTGAGGTGAGTCTGGTGCTGGGTGGTCTGTTCAAAGCGTGCATAGAACTTGTTGAGGGCATCAGGCAGAGATGGGTCTTTGGGGAATTGTTCGCTCCTTCCTTTATAATCTGTTATGCACTTAATGGCCCTCCACATGCTCCGAGGGTCTTGTGAGATGAATTGACCTTCGATCCTCTGTGCTTATGTGGCCTTGGCCCTCTTAAGACCAGCAACCAGCTCTTTCCTTGTCTTACTCAGCTCCTCTGAGTCTTCAGACCTGAAGGCAGTGTTCCTGGCTTCCAGCAGGGTGCGCACCTTTGCATTCAGCCAAGGTTTTCTGTTCAGGTAGCTTTTAACATATCTTATGGTGGAGACGGTGTCAGTACATGTACTAATGTAACCCAGAACTGAGGATGCGTATTGGTCCAGATCAAGTGAGCCTTCATTTTCAGCAGCTTCTCTGAAAACCTGCCAGTCTGTTCGATCAAAGCAATCTCTCAATATGGGGCCACTGTCCTGGATCGAACATTTAACTTTCTTTTGTACTGGTCTGGAGCGTCTCAGCGGGGGCATGTAAGCAGGAGCCATGAAGATTGAGATGTGGTCTGACAGTCCTAAGTGGGGGCGGGGTTCGGCTTTGTATGCATCTTTTATGTTGGCATAAACACGGTCTAGCATGTTGTTTCCATGTGTTGGTACGTATGCCCACATGCTGGTAAAAACTTGGGAGGCAGTCCTTTAGATTCATGTGTTTAAAGTCTCCGGCTACCACGTAAAGAGCCTCAGGGTGTTTGTTCTGCGGTGAGCTTAAGATATCATGTAGCTCCTGCAGGGCATCATTAGCATTCGGAAGAATGTAAACAACTGTGATGAAAGTCACTGTGAATTTGCGGGGTAGATACTGTGGTCGACATTTTACTGATAGTTGCTCCAAAGCCTTCGAGCATGAGCTATTTACAACAGTACAGTTCGTGCACCAACTTTTACTCATGTAAATGCATACTCCGCCTCCCGTGATTTCCCCGTTAGCTCGCTGCAGTGGTCCACTCGAACAAAGAGTCTGTCATCCAGTTGGAAGACTGTATCCGACGTTTCACTTATAATCCATGTTTCCGTGAGGCAAAGCACCGCACAATTCATCATCTCTTCTGAGGCGTTCGCTCTCAGACGAAACAAATCCATCTTGTTGTCCAATGAGCGGACGTTCGACAGAAAGAGAGGCGGCATTGGGAGTTTTCCGGCTTTAGCGTTAGCTCATAGCCTCACCATAACCCCCTCCCGGCATCCTCTCCTCTTAAGCCGGGAGCAGCTCTTCCTCTTCTGCCCGCTGGAATGCCTCTGCTGCAACTTCCAGGTAGATGACTTTAAGATCTGCATTCTGCCGAGCGTAGTTTTGAGGTCGTTGCTGATTTCTGCTATATTTCGTGGCAAATCTGCTCCTATTCTCATCAGTTCGGTTCGGCTATAGTTCACACGCATAAATCGTGCGGAGTCAGGCACAGAGTCAATATCAAAACTTTTCAAAACTGGGATAGTACTGGTATCCTGTGAAGCTGCAACTGCTCTGAGCGCGGCCATCTTAGACATGTCAGTACTTCTATTCAGACTAAAAGCCTGCTGCATGTAAATGCTCGTCGTGTACGGATTCTACCCATGTAAACGATACATTTTAATTATTTAATCTGAAAACGTTTCAATCGGTCAAATATTTTTGTTCATGTAAACATAGCTTTGTTGCAGCTCCTCAGACTGAAGAAGTCTTTTGGATAAAAGACAAAACGTTTCAACACGAAGAATCTGCCCAGAGGACCTGACTTAATTTTTTATAGATATCTGATATTTACTTGGTCAAATCCAAAAATAGTCCATGCTCAATAATCCAGGTATACGTTCCAACAATTTTCAGTCAGTTCATCTGGACAGTTTCTTTTTTTTTTTTTCTGAAATGTTTCACCTTTCATCCGGAAGGCTTCATCAGTCAAGGAAACACACAACACAAAACTGATTCTTCCCCCAAACAGCTCACTCCAAAGTGAAAAAAAAAACTGTTATGTTGGTGCTAAGGTGGTGTCTTTGGCACACCCCCTCCTCTTGTGCCAGCCCTCTTCCTCATCGACAGTCATGTCAAACTGGTTTAAAACCAAAAATAGTTCATGCTCAATAATCCAGGTATACAATCCAACAATTTTCAGTCAATTCATCTGGACAGTTTATTTTTCTTTTTTTTTCTGAAACGTTTCACCTTCCATCCGGAAGGCTTCATCAGTCAAGGAAACACACAACACGAAACTGATTTTTCCCCCCCTACTTGGTCAAATGTTTGTTTTGAGACAAGTACAATTTGCAAAATGTCTTTAATTGGAGTTGGGGTTTCAGGTCGTTGAGTTTTTCTCAGATTCTTCTTTATCTGTTTTTAGTTGCTCAGAGGCATTCTTAATTATCTTTATCAACTAATGTTTCCCAATTTAGACAACATTTTGTGAAAGGGCATCGTATTGACACACTTTTTTTGCCAGATGTTCAGAACAGGTTAATGGGGAACATCCAGCTTTTCCACCTGTGAGCGGGTGGGGCTGTCAAGTTGCCCTTGTTAGAATTGTCCTAATTCAACCATGCTGGGGGCCCCCAGTCTAGTCTACTCAGAGGCTGATTTATAACCTGGTTCTGATCAGATGAGACCAACCTCAGCGGCTCACAATGAATGATCCCAGACTTGGCACCAGATAAGGAGTCATTTTTTCTGTTTTGCTTGCTTCCAACACTTAGAGTTGCACTCCAGCCTAGTTATCCACTGCCAGTAACAGTTAAGACTGGTGTGGTCACACATTGTCCCCCACTCATACACTCTGATAGGCTGTGCTCGCCGGATGTGAAGGCAGAGCCAAGGGCCAACATAATCTGGGGCGTTCCCTTACATTGGGGGCGGAAGGTGATCCCCATTGCGACGGGTCAGACAGACACCTCAGCGCTGAGCTTATAATTTTTCCTGCCTTACCAACATTACAAGGGTAAACACAATTTACCTCTTTTGATTTTATTGCGTTTGTGTGAGTTTCCTCTCCACCTGGGAACAAAAAGAACCGGAAGAGCGCCGTGGTCTGACGGCTGACATCCTGTTCTTCCATGACTGGGAGCCTAGGGTAGGTTGTCTGAGAGGGGCAGCTGCTGGCAGCGTCAGAGTCTTACACAAGTCCAACCCCGTCCCACCTCTTGCCTGAGCAGGGCGGCTGGGAGAGCTAGGTTTTAGGCCATTCGTGGGTTTTGAAATGAAGAGGCCATGATGCTGCCTGGGTGAAGGTGTACCATGGGGCTATCTGACGAGGAGGTTCTGTTTTCTGCGGTAGGCAAAATTGGAGCACCTTAAATCGTCCTCCCCTGAGCATCACACCACTGCTCTATGGGAGGTTAAAGCAGAGCCCAAAATGCCCTTACTAATTATAGTAACTTGAGACACACTGATATTAAAGGTAATTTATAGTTTTGGACATACAACTCTGTGATCATGTCAATATCTCTTTTTGTTGAAGACCGCCTGATTGGTTTGCCAGAAGGTCGAGCTCGAAACCATAACCGACCTCAGCAGGTGCCAGCGCTGTCAGAGATCCATATCCAGGATGTGGCTGTAGGAGCTGAACACACTCTGGTGCTCTCCTCCATAGGAGATGTTTACACCTGGGGCAGCAACTCAGAGGGACAGGTACTATGAAAAAACTCATTCCCAGTGTTAACGTTACTGCCAGTAAAACTAAAATAATTAATTTTACTGCAGATTTATTCAAACCTCAAATTTTGACAACAAATAGTCTTGCTTGCCTCAAATATTCTGTTATCTGGTAACTTCAGAATTGTTGACTTGAGTTTTGGACTGTGTTGTGCAGCTGGGTCTGGGCCACACCAACCATGTAAGAGAACCTACTCTGGTGACAGTGCTGCAGGGCAAGAGCATCAACCAGATCTCTGCAGGACGCTGCCACAGCGCAGCCTGGACAGCTCCCTGTGTTCCGCCTCGCGCACCAGGTTAGTTACACAGTCTAACTGGAAAATCCCAGTCCAGTCCTTGTGTGAATGCAGAGACACTGTGCATACAGTTTTTCTGACTGTTTATAGGTTCTGAAATGTCTTTTTACAATCAAGTTACTTCTGCAGACTTTGTGCTATTAAAAATATTCTGATATCAAATTGTTCAGCTTGATTGGGAAAAGTGTGTTATAACATTAAAGTTCTAATGATTATAACTAGAGCCCGACCCATATGGTCGATATTTTGGGACAATATAGGCATTTGTGCATGTATTGGTCATAATTGTCCCATTGTGCACCAATATAAACACTTCTAATTTTCACCCCTAAAATGCTTTGAACAACCCATGTTTTTACGTGCAAATGGCATAATTGTAAAATGCATCCAGCAGGGAACGCATGCAGACTACTGTAGTCCCTCGCTGCTTCATGGTTCATTTAACATGGATTCGCTATATCGCAGTTTTTCAGATTGGACATGACACAATTGTCTGATTGATGGATGAGCCATGGATTGTTTATATAAAATATATTATTTTAAATGATTATGCACCATGTGTGCAGACCACAAGTGCAGGAGAAGCTCCCTCCTACAACTGATCAGCTGATCTCCATCTCTGCCACACATTTGTCCTGCAGCAGCTTTATGAAGGGTTAACCCTTTGCTGTCCAGATGCACCGATCGACTGTTGTCTTCAAACTTAAAATTCAAAGTATGTCACATCGTAAAATCATCATAATCGTAAAATATAAAAGTGTTAAAAGTTATTTTTAATTATTTTAGATCTTCTATGTTCAGTTGTTTCAGTGTCATTGATCCAGAAGTTTCTGCTCCGTGCTGCAGAGCTGAAGCTGTGTGACATCCTGTCATGTCCTGCTGCACTTCTCTTCTCTACAATTTAAATTTAAATACTGTAACATTTTAAATAAACAATCCATGCTGCATGGATTGTTTATTTAAAATGTTACAGTATTTAAATTTAAATTTTTTATTTAAGGAGGGAGATTGGGAGGAACAGGTGATGAGTGAGATTACAGCCTGGCACATGTCATGACAAACTTTACTGAACTTGAACTTGGACTACTGTCTCTCTTCTTTGCTGTTTTTCACTTATTGTGGGGGGACATGGTCCGTAACACCCGTGATAAACGAGGGACCACTGTACTTTCAAGTCATGGCCTTGCTGCATATACTTGACAGCACAGCCAAAGCAGCGAGCAATAATACTGCGTAGTGTGTATTTTGCTGATCAGAGCATGGTAAGTTTATTTAACTGATCTGTAAAATAAAAAAATCAACAATAATAAATTCTCTTCAATCCTCCAACTCGCTTGTCATTAGATATGTGCCTCTCAAGTTAGCAAACTAATGTTTAGATAACCTAGCATAGGCTTGTAAAACTTTATCCAGAACAATAAATCTAATGTAGAGGTAAAATATATCAGTGTTAGTAACGTTATCTTTGTCGTCCTCAATGAAATACATTGTTTGTGTGAAATCTTTAGTTCTCTGCATTGAAAAACAATACGCAGCTGCGGTTAATACTAATTAGACCTTCACCATACGAGACTGACTGTTTAACAATGAGCAAGAAAGGTGTTTCTTTGTTTACTGTAATTGCCGGTGTCTAAACCACTACTATTTTCACAGACTTTAAACCCCATGGCTTTTGCAATGCTGTGGCTAATTTATGTTTTTTGTTTGGTTTTTTGGTGTGTTTTTTTTTTTTGTGTGTATTTTATTTTGACAGGCTAACGAGCTTCCTGCCGCCAAAAAATATTTTACTTTGGCTCACCTGGGCACTCATATAGCTGCCCAAGACAGACCTCTGTTGGGGGTGTGTCTTTGTAACACTGACAGAGTGAACACCACAGCTATTCATGACACGTACTCATGGTTACAATATGCTACTGAATGGACTGACACATAATGAAATAATACACTACATAGGCTATGATGAACAGACTAATCACTATAAAACAATGGTAAAGGAGCCAAGAATTTCAAACTAACATTAAGAATGAACATATATTTTACCCATAATCCCCCCCATATGGCCATATGAACACCAAGCAGACAGAGACAGAGATGACGTTCTATTTCGTATAAGCTTCGCCCTTTAAGGCTGTCGCTTGGTGGGTTTATCCCGTTATGCGGAGCATTGCACTGAAAAAATTTAGTCCACGCCCACCTGCTGTGTGAGCCCTACCGGGTCCGTATAAATTACGTTAAGAGCGGGAAATCGGCTCCCATTTTTTTTTCAGCGAGCTATAGCACTGTCAGAAGAACGAAGAAGGAAAGTTGTGTAGATGACCAACCTTTGTTAAGGATGCTTGGCCCGGCAGTCGACCTCTGGTCGTCCAGTGAGTTCTCCTCCCCGAGGAGAAGCTGACGAGCAATCTTATTTCAAGGTAAGCGCCGAGGAATATTTCTCAGTGACGGGTCACTACACGCTGGACAACGCCATCTTGTAATTTTCCTCTTATCGCCGACCCTAGGAGCGAATTGGATGGTTCCTCCGGGACAGGCGGCACTCAGCTGCAGCCCCCCGCTGCTCATTCCCTCCTGGAGAGTGTAGTGTCGGTGGAGGGGGGCTGAGTGAATGCTCACCCCATCCCACCTCGTTTTGCATCGGCAATCACACCGCTCCCAGCCGACGGCGCCCTCAGGGGTTGCCCGGCGTAACCCAGGAGGCGGCTGACATGAAGGGACCCCTTTTCTACGTCCCACGCCTTTTCCCGCCAGTTCGGATGATCCGTCAGAAAGGTTGTTTACTGGGTTCCATTCCGGCTCACCGTCTTGATCCATATGGCCTTGTGTTCCATCAGGACGTCCTACGGGCGAGGCCACAGACGGTTCTTTCCTGGTAGATTGGGGGAGCCGGTCTCCACAGTCCGCACCCATCACCAGAGTGGAGGGGTTCACCGAGCTGGGCTGTCCCTCGGAACCCCCCCCTTGAGCCGAGCCTCGCGGAAGCTTTCGGAGCGAAGCTGTCCAGGTTGGAGCAGTGTCCCGTTCCTCCTGGGAAACACGACCAGACGGTGACCACGCTCTCCAATCGAGCCCATCAATGTGCTTTTCAGGCAGCCGCAGCTAACAACAACGTGGTGCTGCTAGCATATAGCGTGTCCAAGAGGCTGGAGGCCGCAGACCTGCCTGAGGAGACCAAGAGCTCCCTTTGTAAGGCAGCCGAAGCCATCCTCAATATGTGTGCCTCTTCTACGGTTTGCCTGTCCAGGATTGCAGCGTGGATGACGATGATTAAACGATCCACCTGCCTCCGTCACTCCCCCTCGCTGCCGGAGAAACTGCACAAAGACCTGATGGAGGGCCCCATCACGGCGGACGCGCTGTTCGGGACCAACTTCAAAGCCATGCTGGCGAACTCGAAGCAGTCAGAGGAGGTGTCAGAGGCTGTGCGCCATCTCATCAAGCCGCGTGGCTCATCCCGCCCCCCGGCCCGCTGGAGAGACCGTCGTGAGCAGAGGCAGAAACTACGACGTTCCACGGCCGCCGCGGCGTCGTCTCGCTCAGCTCCACCACCAGCCCCGCCCGTCCGAGACCAGCCCTCTTCATCCCGGCAACCAGCAGTTCAGCGTTTCCCCATAGATCGCCTGCAGACAGCGCTCTGGGCAAACAAATCGCAGAGCTCACGGGGGAGAAGATTTAAAAAATGACGGTCTGCGGAGGGTGTGTGTAAAAGTGACACGAAAGTTGAAATAAATCATCATTCAATGATCAAAGTGTCTGTTTCTAGCCAGTCTGTAAGCTCGGATGAACTCACAGCGGCTGCGCACACATCCTCCACACATAACGAGCCGGTGTCCTTAAATAAAGGTTTTTTAAACTCCCCGTCGCTCCAAGACATGACGAGACGCTCACACGACACGATGGTAAGCGAAATAACTCGTTGTCAACCCGAGCTGCACGATCCTCACCCAAGCGGTGTCAAACGCGCACTCATGCGATGCAAACAGCCTTCATCCAAACGGCGCTGCGTTGATGATGGTGCACACACAACTCCCCGGCGCTCACCGGCTCACATCGGCATAAATGTGGGACTGCAGACTGGGTCCGGTGAAGGTCCTCGTTCTCAGCAAGAGCAACACACACCTCACCGAAGCAAACGCGTGCGGCCGCGACGCGGGCAGCCTTTTCCCACCGCGTCTCACCGCTCGGCCGCTCACGGCAGCATAAGCATGAGACAGCTGAACGAACCCGGTGACGAGTCTCGCTTCCAGCGAGAGCGGCGCGCGTCCCTCCAGCGAGAGCGGCGCGCATCCCTCCAGAGAAAACGTGTGCTCCCGCGGGGCTCGCAGCCTTCACTCCAACAGCACGGCGTAGATGAAGTCACGCTCTCCGCCTCTCAACGTTCGCACAGCGACGTCGAACGCGAAGCCCCACGGCGTCATCAGTTGTCATACGCTTCGCCTCAGCACACACTGGCCCACCTGTCCATGAAGGTTGGTCCGCGGTCCGAACGCAGCGCACTGGCGCGTTCCGAGCCTTTTCGAGGAAGCCTCGCCTTGGGTCACGCGGAAAACATCCCCGCGACACATGACGACGGTCGGGGCGGCGGACTGGATGGCATCCGTTCAAAACATCACGCATCACTTAAACGCACGTCCACTCCACGAACGTTACGCGGAGTGGCTAAAAACATGCTCGCCGGACAGATGGATGGACAGGGTGTTATGCAAAGGTTACACGTTGCAGTTTGCAACCCGACCCCCTCCGTTCGGAGGAGTTTTAGAGACGGTCCTGTCATCACCAGACCAAATCTCATCCCTAAATGCAAAAGTCCAAGAGCTTCTGATAAAAGAAGTAACCTCCAGGGTTCCCAACAGAGAGGAAAACACAGGGTTTTACTCACGTTACTCCATGGTTCCCAAACGGACTGGAGGGATGAGACCGATTTTGGATCTGTCAGCTTTCAACAAGGCGATCGTGGACAGACCGTTTCACATGTTGACAACCAAAGAGCTGTTGGACAACAT